TTGTTTGTTTTCTTTTTAAAGCATGTATAGGGAAAAAAGCAAGAGTATAATACCATGAAATGGTATCCACTCTTAACTTTAAAAAAAAAAATCAAAATTTTGAATTAATATACTAGAAGTAAAGCAAATGTAGCCAACCAAATGCCAAGTCAGAGCATAGGGCTCATACAAGGATTGCCTAAATACTTCAACCAAGTGTGAACATCACATCTGTCATTCCAGAACTAAGCCCAGGAAGCTCCTCATCAGTGTCAGGTCAGGCTGGTGACAGGGTGAGGCCAAGACCACCAACATGAATCTCAAAGTGAGACAGCCCCCCCCACACACAATTTCAAAACACATTAAACATAATGATAAAATAGTAGGGTGTAAGGGAGGAGAAAAATAAACACAGTACTCAACTGTTTCTAGATCTGAGGAGCACTGGCCCAGATGTGCATAAGAAAATACCAAGATGAACAGCCAGGAGGGGCAGGGTGGCACAGTGTAACCTCAGCAGTTAAGAAACCGAGAAAAGAAAACTGAATTGAAGGCCAGCCTGGGCTACATAAATACACACATGAGACTGTGACAAAGAACCAAGTTCTATGTTAACTATATTTAATTACATGTCATTTTATTATAGAATTATCTTATTATTCACTATTAAATATTAAAATACTGGTTAAAAATTAATATGGTCCTTAACAATAATTATATAGTTATATTATTAATATGCAAACAGTATACCAATTATTATAGTTAACATTAGATATGATTAATATGACTACTACTGTGCAATATATTGATGAATTTCTTTCCCTTACGATGTGATTATTTTTAAGTATTTTGTAACTTATTACATATATTACATGCATAAGCACAAAAATAATCAAGTTTATGTAAACATCATTAACAGGTGTTTCTTCATCATGAAAATACTGGCAAAGGATTTGTATTTTAAAATACATACACACACACACACACTCACACACCTTCTCTTAACCAGAATCAACCCACATAATCAGCCAAATACTGTGGTCTCAGTTCAGTTTTGTGCTTAAAACAAGCAATTAGGAATTCTTAGAAACACAGTTGACTTGGGGAAGATGGACAGAAGATGATTTTAGGAAAATCTTATCAGATAGCACTATCAAAGTCTACTATAGTCACTTCAAAGACTGCAAACTCAACTGGAAAAAGGCTTTCACCAAGAAAATCTCACATCAATAAGAATAAAACCACAAAGCAAGAAGTATGTTAAATGTTCAAATTCACAAGCTCACAAAAACATTTCAACAAACTCTACCTTCTAGGAACACTGAAAACCAGTAAGAAAAGAAAGAACCTAACTCTGAATCTGTCTTTCAAACCTAGGCCAGTGAGTGCCTGGGAGAGGTTTTCTTTACAGAAACACTGAAGGCTAGAACATTAGTATTTGTGCACACTCATGGAATCTAGACCATGATCATCAATGATTATTCTCAACTTCTAGTTGTTTTTTCAGAGATAAACTAGTAAAGTTTACAGATAATTCTGTTTCCCTAGCGTTACAGATAATGAGAAGTGACAGAAAAATTAGATTAAATCCTTAGGCCTGGCTGTTGATTTGCAGAAAATACAAGGGAAAAATATGAGTAGTTCCTTGAAGAGATACAAGTAACAAAACAGGGAAACTTTACAGACAGATAGAAAGGGATAGTTAAGCTGCACAGCAACTCAGTATCTTGTTCCTGTTCTATGAAAACATACTTGAGAAGTTCAAGAAACTTAAATGGCTACTAAAGATTGTCAATATCTAGTTATCTATTAGATAAATAACATCTGCAACACAGTATGGAAATTCTCAAAAAAGTAAAACTAAAATACCCAAGGCCTGCTCTGAATTCCAAAAAGAATTTATCTCAGATAACTCTACCAAGGGGGAAAAAAAAAAAAAAGAGAGAGAGAAGCAATCCAAATAAATGTCCACAGAGCAAAGCTATAAGCAGAGAAAGTTAATACACTATGTGCATAAAGCCGTAAAAGGAAGGAAGGAAGGAAGGAAGGAAGGAAGGAAGGAAGGAAGGAAGGAAGGAAGGAAGGAAGGGAAAAAGGGTAGAAGGGAGAAAGGGAGGGAGGGGATAGTGCCATCAGCTACAATATGATGGACTTTAAGATACCATATATGGAAACTAAAAGAGGACAATCAGCAAGAGCCAAGTATTGTTAGAATGTTGCATCCAGGAGGGCTCTAAAGTACTCAAACCCAGACAAAAAGGAAATGTAGAAGCTACACTACAGATAGACTGTTATGAACAATCAGCCACTGTTGACACATTAACAATGGTGAAGAAAAAACCTGTTATGTGGTTTCAAATTTAAATATATGCTTATATTTCTTCTCCAACCCAAAGAAATCACCACCAGTTTAAGGTAGAATAATGGTATTGTAATTATATAGTAGTCTTTATCTTCTAATATTGAAATATTTAGGAATAAAACTCTTGTGTTAATGACCACAATAATCAGGGGATGGGGAACAGCAGGGAGCAATTGGTCAGAGGTTAGGCCTGTAACAAAGGCCATGGGTAGGAAAGTGAGCTATGACCTTTCTCTCTAATACGTGCTTGAAACTTTTTTTAAAAAGTCAAAATAATCATATAGCCTGTTGACCAATGAGTCCTGATGATAACTTGATGAGAATTCCAGAAAGAATATAAAACAACTATGCCCATGAAAATACTATAGGTCCTGGTCATGTGAAATGCATTTTAAGAGACTAGACAATTCAAACACAAAAGCAGTAATACAGTCTGCATGGTGACAGACTTCACAGGGAGGAGGGTCTTAGCACAGAACAGCAGCCTACTGCCACAAGTGAAGACCCCAATTCCCAGAATAAGAGATTCAAATAAAACAAGCAGGTCTCCTCCAAGCAAAAGCTTAAGGCCTAGGCAGAGAGCAGAAGAGACAGAAGGACAGGAAGGAAAGGACCAGGTTCTTTCTCTAGTAAAAATCTAGAAGATGAGGTAGCCCAGAAGGTAAGGGCACTTGCCACACTTCAGGAAACCATAGAGAAAGAAAACTGGTTCCTTGGTCACCCTGTGGAGGAAAATGTTTAGAAGTTGTAAATGATAGAAGGATGGTAAATGGCTACGGGGGTAGGGGAGTTCTTCTCTTCAGAAGTGTAGCCACTGCTAAGCTGTCTCTGCTCCAGCAAAAGCCCTACAACTACTCACCAAGATTTACCATGATTAAGCCCATGGTTAATATGGTAGCACACACCTTCAGTCCCAGGACTCGGCAGAGGCAGAGGGGCAGAGGGGCAGAGGCAGGCTGAGCTCTCTGAGTTCTAGGACAGCCAAGGCCAAAGAGTAAGACCCTGTCTTCAAAAAAGAAAAGGAAGAAAAGCACCCCCCATGGCCCTGCTCCAAAAAGGGGTGGGAGTAATTAGGGGAGTGGAAGAGAGTTAAGGGAGGGATATGGAAAGTATGTCAATATGCACTACACACACAAAATAAATTGTCAAAGAATTTTTTATAATTAAAAAAAAAAAAAAAAGAAATCTAAGCTAAATATATGAGGCAAGAGAACCCTTGCTTTTAGCCAGCATGCAAGCATCTTGGGGAATCCCTGTTGTCACTATTTTTAGTCACCCTATTCTGCTATTCTGGTTCTTAATAACTTCTAATCCCTTTTACTTCCAGCTGATACAACTGACAATTCGTATCCAACTCTATAAACCTTGATTTCTATAGATCCATGACTTAATATTGAAACTGAAATTTGATAAAGCAAAAAATTAATGATAATGCTTAGTGATGTGCTATGAAACTGTCTTTATGAAGAAAATTCACACAGAAACCACAGTTGTTCAGCTGAGTTCAGGGAGTGTCCAGTATAAACGGAGTTCAAAATCCTGGGTTCAGTGTCAAAGACCAGGGAAAACATTCACTCCATTATTTACTTATCTCCCAAACACAAAACAGTATTAAAGTAGGAGAATAATCATTCTGAATTCTAGTTTGTGCCATTGCTTAGCCTATAATTTGAATAAGTCTTAGGAGTATAATATAACTCTACTACCAATTTTTCCCAAGTCACCGAATACTGCCAAAAGTCAGAAAGGCCTGGTACATTCAGAAGTGTAGCCATTACATGCAGCTGAGGTTCATAATTCAAAATGAAAGACTTCTAAACCTTTCTAAAGAGGTAAAAATGAGTGAGCACCTAGGTCCTGCCCCAAATATGTGACAGACTTTTGATGACCCCCCACTAGAGGCCTCACCCTCTGTGGGGGAGGGGATGGAGTATTGATGGGGGGGCATGAGAGGACAGGCATTTGTTTGTAAAATAATAAAATTGTTTCTTATTTAAATTTTAAAAATAGGTAAAAAGTCTCTCCCTAAAGTCATCAACAAAATAAAAATGTAAAGTCTTATATATTTAACTGCATGTTAACTAGCAACATCAGGATAAGCAAAGTACCCTAAAACTAAGCAAAATGATGAAAATAAAAGAACTGTTACTAACAATACCAAATTTTTAACAAGGTGTGACCTTGTTGGAAAAGATGCATCACTGGGGGTGGACTCTGAGGTTTCACAAGACCACACCATTCCCAGTACTCTTTCTGCCTTATGATTGTTGTTTCCACACATAAGCTCTTGACCATTCCTCCAGCCCTGTGCCTGCCCGCCTGCCTGCCTGCATGGTTATGGACTCTAACCCTGTGAAATTGTAAGTTCCCACACATGCTTTCTTCTTGTAATTTGTCTTGGTCATGGTATCTAATCACATCAATTAAAAAAAAAAACTACACACACACACACACACACACACACACACACACACACACACACGACAGCCATAAAATTACAGAAAAACGAGAATATTCAAAATAGGGTTTCTTTTGCTAAAAATTCTAAGTCATCTCAGATTGTTGAGAAATTTCTATTTCTCAAAAGTCTCTTTAAAACAAGAATAAACACAGCTATAAATGACTGACATGGGACAGAAAGAAAAGGGAGGCATCTTACCATTGGCAGTGCATTGATGTGAGGATGTACAACTGGGTATCTGACCACCAAACACAAGTCGCTGAGGCTAAGAAAAGGAAAACAGTTTTAGTGTCCCCAAATTCAACTTAAGATTTCCCATACAAAACTTTGCATGTTCAAAGCACTCACTTTGGCATCCATCACAGAGACTCTCCCCAATGTAGCTATGTCACGAACAGCAGCAAATGCTGAGTACCTGAATTACTGAGAGGCTAATGCAGTTAGCATCCAAAGAAGGTCATGCATGACCCTCAATTCAGCTCAATCTTCTCGGGAGAGCACAAAACTGCATTATGGTTCATCAGACTTGACCATTAGCCAAGAAAATCATGTGAACTTGAATTCCATCTATTTTAATTCATGAGAAACATATTTAACTGATTTTCAAATTATTTTAATCACAACATGGCAGGTATTAAACTAATACTTTAGACAAAAAAGGGCTCTACCTCTACTCTTCTCAATGAGTGAATCACAGATCATACCCATGGAACTTCTGTAATATGAAAGTGATGTTTCATATGACACATTTAAGAGATGACACTCAGGATCTAAAACCTGACATTGATCACCAGTGCATAGTAGTTTAACAGCAGCAAGTTGAAGCCACCAGGAGAAAGGTAGCCACAGTGGTATTAGACTGTGTCCTATAACAGAAATTCAAGTTTGAGCACATCAATAATAAAGAACACTAATCAATACCCTGAATAACCATAAAATCCTCAAGTCCCTGTAGGTCTGCTCCTCTGGTTTTACTTCTCACTGAGCACCCACCCTTCCTAGAGACATTACACACCACACACTGAGTTACAGAAGATATGCCCACATACATCACTCCACTGCCCTCCAGTTCTCTAAGCTATATTATGGAAATAAAGCTAGAAATGCTTTCACATGAAACACTGGGTTTAGGTGTGACAAGCTAGGACACACTGGGAAGCATTCCTATACACGAACAACTGAGTCCCAACAAACCTAGATACCCCTAAACTCTGATTACCTTAAGGTTATTCACAACTAACATTGGTAACTTTACTATAGAGTGTAGACTTTTTAAATAAATTATTTATGTATGCAGGTATAAGTTTGTGTGTCTGTTATATATGTGTTAGTGCCTTCAGGGACCAGAAGAGGGCACTGGATTCCCTGGAGCTGAAGTTACATGAAGCTTTCCTTGAGTTGCCAATGTGGGTGGTAGGAACAGAAAGCCTCTTAAAGGCTGAGCTATCTCCCTCACTCAGTTTTTTATTAATCCTGAACTATCTATCAGCAGAGTGCTGCTCTTATCGGGGGGGGGGGGGGGGGGGGAGGGGGGGAACACACACACACACATAGTTTTTGCTTTGCCATACAGTCTTTCTATTTGTTTTTATGAAATTAGCATATTGCTAAATTTCGTGTATTTCAAAATACACAGAAGTAAAAGAGATTAGATAAATTGCATACAATTGGGACCTTTTTATAGGTCTTCTTAATGATCAATGACTTTTTTGTTTTTTGTTATTGTTGTTTGTGTGCTGTTTTGTTTTGTTTTTGTCATCATTAAGAAATATTTTAAGCAAGGCACTGGTGGTACATGCCTAGAATCCCAGCACTTGGGAGGCAGAAGCAAGGTTATCTCTGTAAGTTTGAGGCCAGTTTAGGCTACAGAGTGAGTTCCAGGACAGCCAGAGTTATGTATTATTGATACCCTGTCTCAATAGTATCAAAGGAGTCAGTATCAAAAGGAACGTATCTGTGTCAGGCTTCCTTAAAAATCTTTAAGATATCTATACTGATTATATCATAGGAGGTGTATGTTCATTTTAGTTTCTTGTTCTTATTTCAATATGTGGTTTCTTTTTTTTTTTTTTTTTAAGAATCTTCTTGCAAAGGTTAGCTAAAAAGTAGATACTATCATCCAAAAATTCACCTAAGCAAACAAATGATGTCCAGATGATCACTGAAATTCAGGGAGATTCTGAAAAATATAATGACAAAAAGGGAGAGTAGCATATTCTCCAAGCGACCACCCCTGTGGTGGTCTATTATAAATTATTCTTCCATCAGAGCCAGCTGCAGTACAGACCAGAGCCCTTTTTCAAGTATCAGAAACAAATGTTGTCTTGTCACCTAAGATGAGCATCAATAAGCTAATAACAAGGATTTCTACATACTAACATCTCGCTCTTGTGCACCTAGCCACACACATGAAATACCACACATTACTTGGGGTAAATATTGAACCAGCTCATTCCAGTTAGTTTCCTTCCCTCTAGGGCTCTTTTCCTTTCTTGAAGTAAGTGAGAATTTTCCTCAACACCCCTCCCACCAATTGATGTATGTAGTAGAGGGTCTACTAATTATCTTTCCTCAATATCCTTTTGTTTTTTACTTAACTTTTCCTTATGCTATAGCTCTTTAAGGTAAATACCACTTAAATGGTTAAGTAAATATCTAGTTCTACAACATCAAGCACAGGCTATCTTTACTAAACATTAGGGTGTGAGAGACAGCTGTGTGCAGACAATTCAACCTAAACACAGTAATCTTAGAAACACTCGGAGCGTCACACTACTTTCCAGTTCAGGTGTTTTCTGAGACAAGTCAACACACTTACCTGTGGCCACTCAGATACTATACAGCACATTTAAAAAGCAGATCACAGGAAAGGAAAATTCAACCTTGTAAGACACAGATACAAACCTGCAGGGAAACTATGGCCACTACAAGTGTGCTTTAATCACAGGACAATGAAATTAAACCAAGACAAGTAATTCAAGTTGTAAAGATGCAGCACCCTATATACGTCTGCCTTTTAATTTCTATTTGTTTTCTGGAGGAGAGAAATGGTCTTACTTTGCGGCCCAGATGGCTTCTAATGTGCAATTTTCCAGGTCTATGCACTATGACCTTCTTTACAACTGTGCTTCTAATAAAAACTTCTTTCCCTTGGCCTTCAGATCTCTGCAGTCTGTAATCACCATGACACTACCATTCTAATACTGGGATTCCCTCTGCAAAGGTTCTGCCCTTACACCAAGCCCCATCTTTCCTTTCCTCCAGTATTCAACTCCCATCATACTGGGGGAAGAGGGCACTCTTTCAGCAAACCTCTCCTTCCTCGGCTGTTCTAGCATGTGTTCCCAGCAGTTTAGGGTCCATTTGCTCATCTTGCTGTCCTTCTATAAAACTAAGAACAACACCTGGAAAATATGTAGTTCTTGGGATCAAAGGTTACAGTAGCACAGACCACCAATGAGTGCTCCTGAGTAAGAGAACTGAAGCACTGATCAGACACAACGTGTGAAGAGGAAATGACTGCCTGCTACTCTGATGAAGACAGACTTTTCACACCACTTCCAGGAGGTGGCAGGGATAGACTGACATTCCACTAACAGAAAACTCAAATACACCTCATGAATATTATTACAAAGCTAGCGTTGTGAACAGTTAAATTTAAGCTCATTCAGTCTCTAAACAAAATATTTTTTCCTTTTAAAAAGCTACTATCAACATCTTACCTAAAGTGAAAAAAAGCATTAGTGTTAGCAAAAGCCTTTAGCATAGACATTGGACTAAGCGAACATTGTTCAAGCAATTCCCCCAGCACATAATTAAGCTTTTCTTACATGTTTAAAAGAAAAAAAAAAATCTGTGAATCTGTGACAAACTGTATCTTGATTTGGTTTCTAACAATAAATTCATTGGACTCATCAACATCTCTGAAAAGCAGTAGAAAATCTGGCTTCTCCCCCAGAAAAAGTACAAACACAGCAAACATTTACTTTACCAGGAGCAACATAATCTAAAGTCCAGTTGCCTGTGACAAGTACAAAAAAGGCATCTGTGCACTAAGAGAACAATAAATTTCCATTTTGTATAGAGAATTTTGGAAGTAACATTTATAACTGATGGAAAATTAAAACCTTACCAGAGCTGATTGTATTAAGTAAGATTTTTTTATTACATGGATATAGCCTAGCATATACAGCTGGGACTCAATGTCAAGCCATAAAAGGGGAAGACTTTCTTATAAACACCTGGGAGAGAATGTCCCAGAATTCCAAGTGAATCCTCTAGTGCATGATTAGCAACATAATAAATGTACTAACTCCAAATGGGGTGACTTTTAAAGGTAGCTATGTATGTAAATCAGTTTCAATTGGACTTTCCTCATTTCTTGATTTTACAAGAAAATGTATCCATTACCTTTCTCTGCATGCCAACCCCTGACAACCCTACAGGTGTAGATGTAAGCCTCAGAAACACTGTATACTGTGCCTGAGTTGATAGTCATGCACAATTGCAAATGCCTGTGCTTGGCAGACACCAGAGGATGATAGCTGTCCCCTGCAGGAAGGTCTTGATGAAGCAGCCTGGACCCAGCTGCAGTCAAGGGGCCACCATGAAGCACTAGTGCTTGCTTTTGCATTCCATTGTTTTTCAAGTTGCTTGATACTGGAGCCAAAGAGCTGTGTATTATGACCTTAAATTTTCTTACACTGAGTAATTCTCAAGACCACATATCCATACAAAGATGCCTAACCACCCAATTCTACCTTCAGCTGAGTTAGTCTTGCAGGTACATGAAAAGATGAACTTTTCATTAAACATAAAAATAAACCACTGAGCAAGGATAAAGAAAAGCGATACCAAATATTTTAAAATTTGCCTGCTCAAATTCAACTACAGTAAAGTTCCTAAAAGTGTAGTCTACTGTGAGTCAAATTTGTATTAGCTACCTCCCAGCTTTTGGGAGGTGGGGAGCAGAAGGATCGGGAGTTCAAGGCTGATCTAAGCTACATGAAACTCTGTTAAAACCAAAATCAACCTCAAACTTACTTTAAGCTTAGGTTTTACAAATTTTCGGTTTTAGCCAGGAATGCTAGCACAAACCCACAACCCCAATGTTTAGCTCAAGGACATCCTCAGCTACATAGTGAGTTTGAACTAGTCAGATCATACCTCAAAAAGCAGGAAAAGTTCATTAACTGTCATCAACAGAGAATTTCAACAAACTTTACCTGTTACTCAAAAAATGACATAAAAGTTTCTTTTTTATGT